CCGGCCGCGGCCGTGTGAATGCCGGTCGCTGCGGGCAGGAGGGGCCATTTTCTCGGCACAGTGCCACGTGGCACCGAGTCCCTGGGAGCGGGGAGGGACGTGGCGCGGCACGGCTGCCTGTTTGCTAGGCTGACACTTTATTTTTCCTTCCTTTTCCCCCGCTGCAGCCCCACGACATCAGAGCGCAGGTGAGTGCCAGGTGCTCGGGTGGTGCCGGGCCACCGAGAGCCTCGTGCCGGGTGTCACCCCCGGTGCCGGCACAGCACTGCCCGTCCCCGCAGAAGGGCGATGCTGGCTGAGCCTCGGCAGTCCGGGAAGACGAAAGTCCTCGGTGCCCTGAAGTGTGATTAGTAATTAACTGGGATGAGGGGCAGGGGAGCGCGCCAGGCTCCGTTTTCAGTACCTCCAGTTGTCGGCTGTGCAGGAGGCAGTTACATGGAGGCAAAAGTTGACATTTAATTAAATGCAATCCACCACTTTCTTAAGAGATGCTATAAACTGTTTTATTAATAAATCCCAGCTCACCAGTGGGTGTTGCTGTATGGGCGGCGCGGCAGCACGTCTGCTGTGAGGTGAGAGGGAGACCAGGGCAGGGCTGTCCCTGGGGCAGCTCGGGGAGAACCCTGTGAGAGGAGGTGTCAGGCGCCCGTTAACCTCCGCTCGACGGCGCTCATCCCACGTCTGCCGGCCAGGCGGCTGGAGCAGGACAGGGATGACGTCCTGGGAGAGCACGTGTGGGTCAGCAGGTGCCCAGCCCACCCCACCAGAGACAGGACAGGCTCTTTGCAGCTCCCCCCCTCCTCTCCCGTGACCTGCTGGGCTTCCAGTCACAGATCTCTATCAATGTCGAGGACTGCGAGGACACGACAAGGAGCACTGGGGCATCAATACCAGCCACCACAGGAACTCGTGCTCCAGCGACCAGTCCGAGCACCCGCTGCTGCGGCGCAAGAGCATGCAGTGGGCGCGCCGGCTGAGCAGGAAGGGCAACAAGCACGCCAGCAAGACGGCCGAGTGGATCAGCCAGCAGCGCCTCAGCTTGTACCGGCGCTCCGAGAGGCAGGAGCTTTCCGAGCTCGTCAAAAACCGTATGAAGCACCTGGGCTTGCCCACCACCGGGTACGGTAAGTGCCGTGCGGTTGCGCTTCTCTGCGGTGGTGCATCCCGCTTGCGGGCTCCTCAGGTAACCCCAAGCTGAGCCTAACCCCACGCCGAGCCTAACCCCCCGCCGAGCCCAAGCCTAACC